TGGTTGTGTGTGTGTGTGTGTGTGTGTGTGGGGGGGGGGGTTCTGGGTGTGTCTCCAGGGCCCAGCGCAGTTGTGTGTGTGCGTCTCTCTCTTCCCTGGGTTGTGTGCGTGGAGGCCTTGTGAGGTGCGGGGGGGGGTGCGGCTGGCAAGGGGGGTTGTGTGTCTCGCAGGCTGTGTGTCTCGTGTGTGTGTGTGTCTCTCATGTGTGTCAGGTTGTGTCTCTCATGTGTGTCAGGTTGTGTCTCTCTGTGTGTGTGTGTGTCAGGTTGTGTCTCTGGGGGTGTGTGTTTTCTCCTCCACCGCCCCGCCTTCTCCCCTCCGGATACACAGTTAAAAGGAACCAGCTGTTGCATATTTTTGCCCTGAGCGAATCTGGGCCCAGCCCCTGCCCGGCTCCCCAGGCCCTGGGTGGGGGCAGGCGGGGAACGGGCCGGGGAGATCGGGGCAGGGGGGGCAGGCGGGGAACGGGCCGGGGAGATCGGGCGGGGGGGGCAGGGACCCAGTGCCATTGACAGGATCCTGCCCCCTCCATACACTGGGCATATGGGACAATTAGTGTCCCGACTACTGATTATTAATTAAGGCTGGTCTCAGAGGAGAGATGGGGGGGGCCCATTGTGCCAGGTGCTGCACAGACCCCCCGGACATTGGGGTCCCTGTTGTGCTGGACACCACCCAGACCCGCCCCCCCACATCGGGCATCACGCTGCCCTACCCCCGTCACACTGGGCGCTGCTCCCTGCCCCCACTGAGACCGTAATTTACATTAGAACCCAGGAGTCCTGGCTCCAGCCCCCCGGCTCTGACCACCAGACCCCACTCCCCTCCCAGAGCTGGGGAGAGAACCCAGGAGTCCTGGCTCCCAGCCCCCTTTTCCTCCCCACCCCCACCTCTGGACTCCTGAGTTCTCTTTCCAGCTGGACATGGGCCCCATTGTGTGTTGGCGGCACAAACAAGTCACAGCCAGTCTCTGTCCTGAAGATAAGACAGACCCGAGGGTGGGGGGGGGGTGAAGCAGAGACTCTGGGACAAGAGAGATTTGCAGAAGGGCCTGGAATAGAA